AAACAGTGTGCTCTTGAGATGGGCCAGCCTGGCCTCTCCCCTGCCCTTCGGGCCTAGCTTTCCTGACAGAGATTATGGGGACATTTCCTCTTCTGCCCTTCTGTCTGTACATTGTGGCTTCTAGTTGCAAAGTCCTTTCCCCTCACTCACCAGTCTTTTTCTCACTGCTAACAGATGGGGCAGCGCATGGGGGTTAGGGGATGAGGCTGTCCCAAGGCAAGTTCTGAAACTCTCCAGCTCTAGAGATGCCTCTTGTGTTGAGTGGGATGAAGCCAGAGGGGGCCCAGGTGGGGATGAGGCTGCCACTGCAGGTGTCTCTGTCTCTCATCACAGGGAACGAACACAAAGTCTGTGATGCCTCAGGACAACCTGTATGACTTGATGCTCTGTACCTTCTCCTAGACATGGAATCCCTGAATCCTAAGATTCACTACAGCCAGGTACATGGTTACTGTGCTTCAGTGGCCAAAATGAGCAGGATGAAAAGGTATAAAATGGAACCCTCACGGTCATTATTGTCTTCTTTCTTTTGGAGAGCCTCCTCTTTTGTACTTTCATCTTATTTTCAAAAATATTTTATGCATCTTGTAGCTTATTTCTACAACTTCATTTTGAGTCCATAATTCCTGCTCTATTTATTAAGCAACACGTATTTTTAAAAGAGGAGTCCCTGGGTGGTGCAAATGGTTAAGCGCTTGACTACTAGCCGAAAGGTCGACAGTTCGAACCACCCCCTTCCCAGAGGCTTCTCAGAAGACAGGCCTGGCATTATGCTTCCGAAAGTTCACAGCCTTGAAAACCGTATGGAGCAGTTCTACTCTGCACACATAGGGTCTCCATGAGTCAGAATCAACTCCACGGCAAGTAACAACAACAACATTTTTAGAAGACTTAAATTTGTGTTTCCAGTGTAGCTAAATACTCAGAAAGCAGACTGGTAGAATATTAGTGGTCTTGTTAGTAGTTCACATAACTGATATCCTGATATATTTTTTAGTATACTAAGAGAATTTCACAATCGTTTTAAACACTTGTAAGGTAATTCCTCTGAATTTTAAATTATTATTCATTTTTATATTTAAAGTTTATTATAAGCTAGAGATAGTTATTTTATCTCTTTGGTAGTGTCTTCCCAACTTTTTGATCATGAGTTTATTTTTCATGTCTATTTCGAGATATAGCAAACAATCAAAAGAATGCCTGAACCGTATGTGTTCTGTTTAAGGAATAATTATAAAGTGGACTGCCATGGATCCCCACTCATGCTAAGAAGTGGAACATTGCAAGTAGCCCCCAACGCCTCCTTTGGGCCCTTCTCCAACCCAACACCCTTCCACCGTCCCTTCTGTTCCTTTTTTCTTTCTTTCTTTATAATTTTAACATTATGGCTGCATCACCAGAAAACAGAGTTTGGTTTTTCCTGTTTTCAAACTTTACATCAATGGAGTCATACACATCAATGGAGTCATACTGATGTATGATTTTGTTTCTTTGACTCAACAGGACAATGTTTCTTTGCTTTTATTGTCATATAGTCAACCATATAGTATGACCACAACACAATTATAGTCATGTGCCAATAATATCTATTTGGGCAATGTCGCATAAGGTTCTAATGGAGTTCAGAAATCCCAAGTGGAGAATAGGACATATTGGACATGTCTGGACATAGTGAATGCAACAGCTTCCCGTGTGCAACACGTGTATCTCATGTGTCTTGTATGTAAACCAATTGCACTGCCAGATGGGTAATGATATAGTAAATTATTTGTTGCGGTTAGTTGCTGTTGAGTCGGTTCCAACTCATAGCAACCCTATTTACACCAGAAAGAAACCCTGCCTGATCCTGCGCCATCCTCACAGTCGTTGCTATGCTTAAGCCCATTGTTGCAGCCACTGTGTCAATCCATCTCACTGAGGGTCTTCCTCTCTTTCTCTGACCCTCTATGTTACCAGAATTATGTCCTTCTCCAGGGACTGATCCTCCTGACAACATGTCCAAAGTATGTGAGATGTAGTCTTGCCATCCTTGCTTCTAAGGAGCATTCTGGTCATACTTCTTCCAAGACAGATTTGTTCGTTCTTTCGGCAGTCCATGGTATATTCAATATTCTTCTCCAACACCACAATTCAAAGGCATCAATTCTTCTTCATTCTTCCTTATTCATCGTCCAGCTTTCATATGCATATGAGACAACTGAACACCATGGCTTAGGTCAGGTGCACCTTAGTCTTTACGGTGACAGAGGGTGATAGAGGGAGTTTATTTGCTCCAACAAAGAATATGGTGTTCACACAACGTCCAAATCACATAGCATCCTATTTCACAGAATGTATCATGGACGTTAAACGATGAATGATTGTAATTCATTCTACCATTGACAGATATTTATCATGTTTCCAATGGGGTTATTATGAACAATGTTGCTATGAAGAGTCTTGACTACGTATCCTGGTGCACTTGACCAAGAGATTCTCTTGACTGGCGTTGCCAGATAGACATATGATGGGAGACATATATGTGAGCCATATTTGTAATTTTTAGTTTTCTAAGTGCCATATTAAAAAGTGAAAAAAGAAAAGGGAAGTTAGTTTCAATAGTATATTATATTTAACTCAATACATACAAATGTTATCATTTCAATATGTAAGCATTATAAAAAAAGAGCCCTGGTGGCGCAAATCGTTACGCACTCTGCTGCTAACTGAAAGGCCAGTGGTTTGAACCCACCCAGAGGCTTCTGGGAAGAAAGACCAGGCAACCTGCTTCCATAAAGATTACAGCCTAGAAAATCCTATGGGGCAAGTCTACTCTGTCATATGGGGTCACTAGGAGTCAGAACAGGCTCAACAGCCTCCAACAACAACAACAATCATAAAAATTATTAATGAAATAGTGTAGTTTGCATTCATTTGTTTTGTACTAAGTCTTTGAAATGCGGTATGTGTTTACCCTTATGTATCTTATAGCACATGCTCTTACAGCCACATTTCAAGTCGTCAATAGCCACATGAGATGAGTGGCTACCATATTGGACAATGCTGCTACAGGACATTAAGCTAGGAGTGGAATTGCTAGTTCACAGTGTAGTTCATTAGATAATGTTATTTCATTATTATTAGATAATATTAGTTCATTAGATAATGTTATTTTTCCCCGAAGTGATAGTACCAACTAATATTCCAATAACCAATGTTTCATACCTTCACTAGCATTTGCTGTATTCAGATACTATAATATTTGCCAATTTAGAACATGTATTTTATAGTTATCCGTTGCTGTTGTCCCTGCCTCATAGTGATCTCATGTACAACAGAGCAAAATGCTGCCTGGTCCTGCACCATCCCCATGAGCTGTGATCCGTAGGGTTTTCATTGGCTGATTTTTGAAAGTAGAATCACTAGGCTTTCTTCCTACTCTATCTTAGTCTGGAAGCTCTGCTGAAACCTGTTCAGCATCATAGCAACATGTAAGTGTCCTTTGACAGATGGGTGGTGGTTGTATATGAGGTGCATTGGCCAGGAATCAAACCCGGGTCTCCGTCATCAAAGTTGAGAATTCTACCACTGAACAACCCATACCTCATTGGAGTCCTGGGTGGTATAAGCAGTTAATGCACTCAACTAATAACAGAGAGGTTGGAGGTGTGAGTCCGTCCAGAAGCACCTTGGAAGAAAGGCCTGACAATCTATTTCTGAAATATCTGCCATTGAAAACCCTATGGAGCACAGTTCTACTCACACACATGTGGCGCCCATGAACTGGAGTCAACTCAATGGCAATTGTTTGGTTGGTTTTCTTTACAGACAGTGCTATTTATGCTTCGTTCAGAGATCTTTCCATACCTCAAGTTCGTGGTGATAGCTTTCTATATTATCTTCTGACAGCACTATTATTTTTTTCTCTCATATTTAAGTCTTCAAACAGTATTGGTGGCACAGTGGTTAAGTGCTGAGCTGCTAACCGAAAGGTCGGTGGTTTGAATCCACCAGCTGCTTCTTGGGAGACAGATGTGGCAGTCTGCTTCTGTAAAGATTACAGCCTTGAAAACCCCTCTATCCTACAGGGTCGCTAGAGTCCAAATTGACTCAACAGTAACGGGACTGGTTATTTAGGTCTTCAAACCATCTGCACAGCTTGAGATTTGCTGGGCTACCTAGGAGTTCTCTATTTGGTTGCACATCCCTGCAAAGCCTGGTTTGTGGTCAGAACTGCTTTCATTCTTTAGTCCCTGCTCTGCAAGTCCGTGTCTGTGTTTACCCTTTTGGAACCCCACTTAAAGGGGTGAGATTCTCCCATAAGATGTCCTGTCTTAGGTGGGCCTGTGCTTCATCTTTCTACCACAAGACCATGATTTTGGCCCATGAAAACCAAAATTCGAGTTTACTATGGTCAGTAAATCCATTCAAGGCAAAGGTGCTTCAAGGCTCAGCTCCCCTCTCTGGGTTTCCACCTTACCCTAGATTTTGGCCTGGAAATTTCTTTCTTGCTAGCACTTCAATGGTTTTTGTCGTTGTTCATTGTGGTGAAACCATACGTAACAAAACAAACATACCCTCAACAATTTCTCCATGTATATTTCAGTAATGGTTTTATGAAAATATAAAATCATTTTTTTCCAGAACGTTAGTGGTTTTCAGCAGAAGGGTAAGTCTGACATGCAGCCCACCAAATGACCAGGAAGAGCCCTGGTTTCTCTTTGCTCTCTGCACTTGCTCCCTTGGTGATCTCACTCTGGCTCTTGGATTTCAACATTATTTGTGTGGTGATGACTTCCACATTCAGATCTGGAGAGCCCCTCACCAGCTCAGCACCTCAGTGTCCCCATCTGTAACATGGACGTTGGAACTGGAGGATCTGTTAGTCCCAACCCCAGCCCCCATGGCTAAGTTTCTCAAGTTCCCTTTCAGTGGTGGCCACAGCTCTCTCACACCCACATGCTTCCTGTTGGCACTTCTTCGGCCCCTCCCCACATTGGGGCATTTCCTTCCCTGATAGAAGGACCAGGACCTGGCTGCCAGCCCTGCGGACCCAGACATGCTGCCTCTGCTGCTGCTGCTGCCCCTGCTGTGGGGGGGTGAGTGGGTTGAGGGGTGAGGGAAGGGCATGAGGGTGGGAATAGAGCTGCATCTGAGCCTTATGTCCCTCCAGGGTCCCTGCAGGAGTATCCAGGGTACAAACTACAGATACCAGAGTTGGTGACGGTGCAGGAAGGCCTGTGTGTCATTGTGTTCTGCGAATTCTTCTATCCCTGGCATGTATCATTTACCACTGACCAACTCTGTATCTACTGGTACTGGACTGGGGACAACACATACTCAAACCGTCTTGTGGCCACAAACTGCCAAAACCTAGTAGTGAAGACAGAGACCCAGGGCCGATTCCACCTCCTTGGGGACCCCAAGACCAACAACTGCTCCCTGAGCATCAGAGACGCCAGAAAGAGTGACACAGGGATCTACGAGTTCCGAGTGTGGGGACAATATGTACAATATTCCTACCGAACTCAGCTGAACTTGCAGGTGACAGGTATGGCAGGGGACGCAGGAGAGGACCCTAGGATGGGGGCACCCGGTGTTTGTGCAGGGACAGGACACACTGCTCCTGGTCATGGGGCCAAGGTGGTGAGAGGAGGTACAGGATCTGGGGTCAGCTGTGACCCTGAGGCACTGGCCACTCTCAGGGCCACACTCTCGGTCCCCATCACCTGGGGCCAAGACAGCTCCCTCTCTCCTCCTCAGACCTGACAGAGAAAGCCGACATCCACATTCTGGAACCTCTGCAGTCTGGCAGCCCCACGAACCTGACCTGCAGCCTGCCAGGATCCTGTGATGGGGGGAGACCGCTCACCTTTTCCTGGATGGGGGATGCCCTTAACATGCTGGACCCTAGTACACTCCAGTCCTCGGTGCTCACCCTCACCCCGAGGCCCCAGGACCACGGCACCTACCTCACCTGTCAAGTGAAACGCCGGTGGCCTCAGGTGACTACGGAGAGGACCATTCGGCTCAATGTCTCCTGTGAGTGTGGGTGGGATGGCTGGGACCCTGACAGCAGTGAGAGTGTTGTGTGTGTGTGTGTGCACGTGCGCACTAGGGACACAGAGAGAAGGGGAGGCAGGGGGGAGAGAAGGAGGGGGAGATAACGAGAGAGAGAGAGAGAGAGAGAGAAGGAGGAAGAGAGGAAGAAAAGAAGGGAGGGAGGGAGGGAGAAGGACAGGAAAGAGGGAGAAAAGATGGAAGGAAGGAAAAGAAGGAGGGAGGGAGAAAGAGAGAGTGAGTGCACAACCTTAGAAAACTCGTGCTTGGATCCTAGCCTTGGGAGTCTTGGTGGGGAGTGGGCAAGAAGGACAGCAATGCCCACCTTCCCCGTTTCCTTGGCTCCTTGGGTTCAGAGACAAAACCGATCCCACTCCTCCCTTCTGAAGCAGGGCCTTATCTTTCTATCCCAGATGCTCCACAGAACCTCACCATCAAAATCTTCTTCCAAAACGGCACAGGTAGGATAGAATCTCTCCTCTCCGGAGCTGGGAACTCTGAGCAGAGGTGGGGAATCAGAGCTCAAATGGCATTAGATATGGGAAGAGTAAGGATGAAAATCATCACCCTTCTTCCACCACCCCCTGCACACACACTCTGTTCAAAGCTGTGAGTCAGACTTTGGACCCTGCCATGCCCCCATCCCTCCTGTGGCACAGATCTTACCACAGTCACCAAAGACGTCCTTGTTGCCAAATCCGATGGATGGTGCATGCCAATTCCATTTCACCATGACAGTGTTCTGTGGTTCTCCTCCTACCCCTCCAATCTGGACCCCTAACCTACTTCCTGCTGCATAAATTGAGTCTATTTCCCAAAGCCATTTGGGGCAATCTGTTGTCGTCTCTGCCAAACAGTACAGGCATGTCCCAGTGAGATATTGAGTCTCCTGTGGATGTGTGAAGCCCAACACTTTTGGTCAGCTTCCTTGGGGTGTAAAGGCTCCAGCCTTTGAACCCATACTGAACCCAGTGTGGGCCAGCGGAGGAGAAGGAGAGACCAACAGATCCTGGGAAGGAGGAAGGAATGGATACTGTCAGTCTTCCTCCTTCCACAGCTCACATTCTCTCTCTCTCTCTCCATCTCCGTCTCTCCATCTCTGTCTCTCCCTCCCTCCATCTCTCTCTGCATCTCTCTTTCTCTCTCCATATCTCTCTCCATCTCTCATCTCTCTCTCCATCTCACTGCCAAAGTCCTCAAGGTCATGGGAAACACCATATCCGTTCCCATCCTGGAGGGCCAGTCCCTGCGTCTGGTCTGTGTTGCTGACAGCAACCCCCCTGTAGAGCTGAGCTGGTTCCAGGGATCCCAAGCCCTGAATGTCTCTCCCATCTTCAACACGAGTGACTTGGAGCTGCCTCCAGTAAGAATTGGAAATGAAGGAGAGTTCACCTGCAGAGCTCAGAACCTACTGGGCTCCCAAAATGTCTCTCTGAGCCTGTCTGTGCTCTGTGAGTGTGGGGACACCTGGGGGCAGGACACCTAGGCACTCAGGAGGGAAGAGGTACTTACTGGACCTTGTCCTCCCTCTTTACAGACCCCCCACAGATGCTTGGATCCTCCTGCTCCTGGGAAGCAGAGGGTGTGCACTGCTCCTGTTTCGCCCAAGCCTGGCCAGCACCCTTCCTGCACTGGTGGATTGGGGACAGACTGGTGGAGGGGAACAGCAGCGATGCCTCCTTCTCAGTCACCTCCAGCTCCATCGGGCCCTGGACCAAAAGCTCCCTGAGCCTCAGCATGGAGCTCACCTCTGTCCTCAGACTCTGCTGTGAGGCCTGGAATGACCATGGGAACCAGAGTGTCACTGTCCTGCTGCTGCCAGGTCAGAGGGTCTCTTGTGGGGGGAAGTCTAAGCGGAGAGGGGATGGGGCTTGGACATAAGGTGATTGTGAGGACAGGGTGCTCCATCTCATGGCTATGCAGCCACCTGGAGCAAGTCGTCCAAGAAGGTGAAAGCATAAGAAACTGAGTCCTTGAATGAGTCTCCTCATACCTCTCTTCTCTGCAGGGAAATCAGCATCCAGGGCAGAAGTGGCTCTGGGGGCCCTTGGAGGTGCTGGCACCATGGCCCTGCTCTCCCTGTGTCTGTGCCTCACTTTCTTCTTCATGTAAGTTTTGGTCCCAGGGAGGTACAGGGAGGCATGTGGTATGGAGTGGGGAGAGAGGTGGTTGAATTCCAGAGACACAGAGCTGAGCAGATCTTGAAGGGTCTTTGTTGTTTTCTGGTAACAGCTTTATTGAGATATAATTCCCATACCATATAATTAATCCATTTAAAGTGTGCATATAATTCTGTGGCTTTCAGTATATTCACAGAGTTGTGCAACTATCACCACAATCAATTTTAGAACTTTTTCATTACCTCCCCCGCAAAGAAAAAGAAACCTGTGTCCCTTAATATTCACCTTCCTGTGCTCCCATCCTTCAAAGCCCTAGGCAACCACCAATCTACTGTCTCTATGGATTTGCCTATTCTGGACATTTCATATAAATGAAATCACGCAATATGTGGCCTTTTGTGTTTGACTTCTTTCTCTTAGCATAATGTTTTCAAGGTTCAACCACATTGTACCATGTTAGGGTTTCATTTCTTTTTATTTCCAAGTAACATTCCATTGAATGGATACACAACATTTTGTTTATTCATTCATCTGTTGATGGACATTTGTATTGTTTTCAGTTTTTGGCTATTGTGACTTATGCTGCTATGAACACTGGGTACAAGTTTTTGTACATCAGAGGGGTCTTCAGTGATGGATATACAGTCTTTGGCTACCTTGGCCAGGAGTGTGGTCTTTCCCAAACCCTGGTCATCCAGGAGGGAGGAGCACTCACTGCATGTCAGGAAGTTCTCCCAGTCCAGCTCCAGGGCTTGATGCTTCAGTTGTTATTTTCAGCATATTTATAGGGAACAGGGGGCAGCCTGCCTACCTGTGTCTGAGCCATCCCAGCTGCAATATGCTGGTTTCTTCCCTTAGAGTGAAAGCCCGCAGGAAGCAAGCAGCCGAGAGACCAGGGGGCATGGATGATGAAGACCCCGTCATGGGTACAGTCACCTGGGTGAGTGACATGGGTATCTTTTCATGCGGGTGGTGGGGGCATCTAGGCATATCCACTCAGCAAGTTCAGACTGAGCTCCCCCATGTTTCTGCAAATCTGCTCCTCTTGCTGGTTTCCCATCTTCCTGTTGGCACTGTAACCTCCCTAGTCACAGGCAGACACCTGTGAGTTGTCCTCATTTCTATTCTCCCTTCATCTCCCAAAGCCAATGAACCATTCAGTTCCTTCCAACCTTCTTCCTAAGTAAAGCTAATGCTGACTCTCTGCTTGCCTTCCTGTACTGATCCTAATGGAGTGGGGTGACTACTGAGCTGCTGACCACTAAGCTCACCTCATCTCCTCTATCTTTTATCCTTGACACTGGCTGCCAGAACCGTATCCCCAAAATTATTACTTTCCAGCCAGTCCGGAGTTTCATTGTTGCTTGCTCCCATTGCTGGAAGTATCAAGACCACATTCCTTGGCTCAACATCTGAGTCTCTCCTGATGGCCTCTCCAGCCTGTTTCCTGCCCTGCCTGCCTTACTTGCTGTGCACCAACCACACTGGTCTTCTCCCTGTCTCCATATAGACCTACCCCCTTGTGACTTTGAGTGTTTGCACGTGTAGTTCCTTCTGCCTTAAATGCCCTACCTTCTCCATTTCCACTAGACCACACCTCCACATTTGTCTAGCTCCAAATTTAATATCCCCTTCTCTGTCATCTCCTTGCCCTCTGACGTCTGTCCTTCCCTCCTTCTGTTTCCCCATGGCTCCATGTGCATCGCTGTCGCTGAGGGGCTCATCACACAATGTCATTGCATTTACCCATCTCATTATGCTTGTGAAGTCCTCGATGACCAAGGTTGGGTCTATTTCAGCCCATTATTGTGTTTTACTCCACTCCTGTCCAGCATATTCCCTCTCTCCTTTTATAAAATTAGGCTTGTGTTGCCTTGAATGGAATTATCCAAAATACTTGGTTCATGAGCAAGATGTTGTCACTGAAACAAGCATTGTTAACTTTTATTTTACTTACTCATTTTTTTTTAATTTGTAATATTAGCAACTGTGAATCCATTATCCAACCTAAGGACTAGGACTTTGATGATAACTAGCATCTACCCATGTGCTGCTCCCCAGTAGCCACTTCTCCAAATCTTGTGCTGCTAGCATTATCACATGTATGTATACCTAAAATATACATTAAGGAGCCCTGGAGACACAATGGTTAAAGTGCTCAGCTGCTAACTGAAAGATTGGCAATTTGAATCCATCCAGCAACTCTGTGGGACGAAAGACCTGGTGATATGCTCCAGTAAAGATTACACCCTAGAAAATCCTATGGGGCAGTTCTACTCTGTCACATGGGGTCAAAATTGACTTGATAGCAGCTAAACAACAACAACAAAATATACATTATTTGGTTTTTAATTGCTTCTGCGCTTACAAAGGGTATCATTCTCCATGCATTCTTCTTGGACTTGCTTTTTTGCCCTCAACCTTATCTTGTGAAGGTTCATACATGTTGTTGCCCAAAATTGTAGTTCATTCATTTTCTCCACTGTCTAATATTTCATTGTATAATCAGACCACAGTGTGTTTGTCTAAGCTTACGTCAATGAGCATTTAATTCCAGATTTTGCTATTATGAACATTTTTCTTCAAGTCTTATTGTATTCATTGTTGTTATTGTTGTTAGTTGCCACTGAGTTGATTCCAACTCATGGCGACCCCATGTGTGCAGAGTAGAACTGCTCCATTAGGTTTTCAAGGCTGTGACCTTTCAAAAGCAGATCGCTAGGTCTGTCAGCTGAGGCACCTCTGGATGGGTTTGAACTGCCAATCTTCTGGCTAATTAGTTCAGCGCTTAACTGTTTGTGCCACCCAGGGGCTCCTTGTTACTATTGTAAACGCTATCTTTTTTAAAGTGCATTTTCTGATTGCTTATTGCTGGTATATAGAAACTGAAGTATTTTTATAGATTTTTTTCTTAAAAAAATCACAAATTGGTCTTGGGTGTCATTAAAATCTTCTTGTTACAGCGACTGGAGAATTCCTAGATCTTATGCATAAGCCAAAGGAGCCCTGGTGGCACAGTGGTTAAGTGGTGGGCAGTTCGAACCTGCCAGCTTCTCCTTGGGAGAAAGATGTGGCAGTCTGCTTCTGTAAAGATTGACAGCCTTGGAAACCCTATTGGGGCAGTTCTACCCTGTCCTGTAGGGTCACTATGAGTCGGAATCAACTCGATGGCAACGGGTTTGGTTTGGGGTTTTTATTCATAAGTCTGCCGAACAGTTCTTTCTCTGTAATTTCCTTCAAGAATTAGTTCACCCTCCTTTTAGCTCAGTGGTAAAGTTACCTTCGATGTGCACTGATCAGCCTGCGAGTGGACAGCCCAGTAAAACCATGAGAGTAACGAGGTACAGGAGTCCAGTGACAAGGCCCAGAAGGCAGAAGGGGA